TCTCTGGCAAATGCATATGCTCTCTGGCAAATTAAAGAAAAAATTAAAAAGCATGTTCTTTAAAAATTTTCCAAATGCACAACAGTTCTTTTTTTTTTGGTAAGCTCTATACTAATCTTTAAGTTAATATACTAGCCACAAAACATGATCTGTATGATTCTGACTTCTGAAACTTTTTGACTGATGAGTATCAGGAAAATACATATGTATATTCTCTAACTGTACAGTACAAAGTCTGTTTCCTCAGAGTAGATCAAGCTTGTCAGTTGTGTTTAAACCTGTCTGTGTACTTACTGATGTTTATTCTCCTTGATCTGTGGATGGTTGAAAGAAGAGACACGTTAAAAATCTCCATTTTGATTATGTATATGTCAGTATCTTCTTGTAGATCAACATTTGCTTATTACATATTGATGTCATATTACTAAGTACATGTACATTTGAAAAGTTTATATCCTACTGGTAAACTAAACATTTATCATTATATAATGTTTGTTTCTACTAATGTTTTGTGCCTTGAAGTCTTAATTTATTAATGTTTATATCTATTTTCTCCTATTTAGCATTTGTCTGGTATATCTTTTCCTTTTCATTTACTTTCTTTTTTTTTTTTTTTCCTTTTTGGAGAGGTTTTTCGCTATAGGGCGCGTGCGCTCACCAGACAGACAGAGAGAGACAGAAAGCGAAAAATCACCCCCAAAAAAATTCTCCTCCCGGGATCTTGGGCATGCACGCACATGCGCCCGGCGTGAGTTTTAAGCCACCAGGTCCAGGACACAAACTGTGGTCGACTACGTGGGAGTCCAGCGACATAGCCATTACGCTAACTGCTGCTTCCCTCGTTTACTTATTTTTTTAAAAGAATTATTTTAATTTTATTATTATTATATTTAATATTTCTAGATAGAAACACACAGGGTGTGAAAGAGAAAGAGAAGAAAAGTGAGAAAGCAAGCCTTTAGGTCTGGGACTCAAACCATGGCCGGCCATGTAGGAGTCCAGCACCCTTAACTACCACACCTCCTGCTGGCCCCCCCTTTAATTTATTTTCAATCCTTCTGTACCCAAAGGTTTCAGATATGTTTTCTGTCAACAAATTTAAAGCTGGGTGCTTAACTCAATCTATGATTTTTAATAGTGTCTTGATGTGATTACTATCAATTATATTTTGATTATTTTTATCATCTTATTTTGTGCTCTTTGACTCCTTTTAAATGTGTATTTCTTCTTTCCCTGCCTTTGATTTTTTATTGCCAGAGGGCATGTGTATTCACCAGAGAAAGAGAGAGAACACACCTCACAATGGGGCATGGTCACATCATGATCCTTTTCCTCCATTTCTCCATCCCATCAGGATTGGGGGCAAGCATGTACACGCACACAGTGTGTTTTTCAGGCCTTGAACTGCAGTTAGCCAAGTGGGATCCAGCTCCTAATACACAGCTTTTAAGCACTGGGCTACAAGGCCAACCTTCTCTTTCTGTGAATTAAGTTCCCTCCACCCTCACCCACTGCCTTGTTCCGTATTTTTCCTTAACATGTTTGGAAGACATACTCTACTTTTCATGGTTACTCCTGGCATTTTAGAAAGCATTCTTATTTTAAAATCTATGGTACCTGCAGTGAGCGTAATGGCTATGTCGCTGAACTCCCATGTACTAGACCACAGTTCAAGTCCCGGACCCAGTGGCTTAAACTCATGTCGGGCGCATGTGCATGCGTGCCCAAAATCCTGAGAGGAGAATGGAGAAGAGATTGCAGCGTGGCCATCCCCCGTGGTGGGGGGAGGTGATTTCTCGCTTTCTGTCTCTCTGTCTCTGTCTTTCTGGCGAGCTCACGTGCCCTATAGCAAAAACCTCACAGAAAAAAAAAAAAAAGAAAATCTAGAACTTAGCCAGTATCTTAATCCTTCTCCCAAATAATTCAAGCACCTGAGAATGGTTGTTCCAATCATGCTCCTTCTGGCTTCAGTATTTTAGATCTTTCCAATTTTGGTATTCCTCTGTCCCATGGTTACTCTGCTATTGCTGTTTTATACATCAGTGTTTCTTTAGATGTACTGTGTGCTCATTATTTCCTTCACTCAATTTCCCTTCTCCTATCTCTCACATAGCGGTAGATCAAAATGTTGTTTTCGGGACCAGCAGTTAGCATAATGGCTATGTCACTGGACTCCCATGTAGTCGACCGTGGTTCGAGTCCCGGACCCAGTGGCTTAAACTCACACCAGGCACGTGTGCGTGCGTGCCCAAGATCCTAAGAGGAGAATGGAGGAAAAGGGATTGCGGCATGGCCATCCCCCCTGGGGGGTGATTTCTCGCTTTCTATCTCTCTGTCTCTGTCTTCTTTCTGGCGAGTGTACGCGCCCTATAGCAAAAATCTCTCAAAAAAAACCATTGTTTTCGTGTTTGTTCTAACGCGTGTTTTCTTTATTCATGATAGAGCACATGTGCACACACAGGAGTGAGAGAGCGAGCATGCACAGAAGACAGCACCCTCCACTGGGTCTGACCATACTGTCACCCCCTCCTTCAGTCCACCATCTAGCCAGGATCCTGCCGACTGGCACATGTGCCCAGCATGTTTTCGGTCTCTGGACCAGGGACGCAAACCGCAGTTGCCATGTGGGATTTGGCTTCTCTTTTTTTTTTTTTGGAGAGATTTTCCCTATAGGGCGCGTGCGCTCGCCAGACAGACAGAGAGAGACATAGAGACAGAAAGTGAGAAATCATCCCCCAGAGGGGATGGTTGCGCCGCAATCCCTTCTCCTCCATTCTCCTCTCGGGATCTTGGGCATGCACGCACACGCACCCAGTGTGAGTTTTAAGCCACCGGGTCCGGGATGCGAACCGCGGTTGACTACGTGGGAGTCCAGCGACATAGCCATTACGCTAACTGCTGGTTCCCTCTTCTCTTTGAATGTGCACTAACACTGTGCAATGACATTGGCCCTAATGTTTTTTTAATCCATAAATGTCTTTATTTCACCCTTGCTCTTAAAAATAGTTCCATTGGGGTATACAACTCCCATTTGACAGTTACAGCTCTTAACACCATTATTCTGCTTTTCTCAGGCTTCCATCACCAAGACATCGAACTATCATTTCTTTTGTAGATAATCTCTTTTCACTCTGGTTGCTTTAAAGGTCTTTAACATTGGGGTTTTGGGAGGCCAGCAGGTAGAGTGGTGGTTAAGGTATTAGACTCCCATATAGACAACTGCAATTTGAGTCCCAGATCTGATGGCTTGAAAAATTGCATGGGACATGTGTGCATACATGCCCAAAATCCCAAGAGGAGAACGGGGGAGAAGGGAGTGCAGTGTGGCCCTTCTGCTAGGGGTAACTTATCACCTTCCCTCTCACTATCCCTCTCTGGTAAGCACATATGCCCTATGGCAAAAACCTTAAAAAAATATAAATAAAACATCGGTGTTCTGCAACTTCACTATAAACCATCTAGAAAAAAAGTTTATCTTTGCTTATCCTTCTTGGGACTCTGGGCTTTCTAAATCTGATGACTGATGTCATTAACCAAGTTTGGGGGGAAAACTCAGCCATTTATATTTTTCGTGATGGCTTCCAAACCAGTAGAGCAAAGCGGACGAAATTAAGAGCGGAGGAGACTCTTCTAGCCTCTACTCTCTCCTTTCAACGCTCTTTTTGATATTTTAGATCTATGCTAGACCTCTGTCCTCTATATTGCTGAATATCTTTCATACGTTCCACCTTTTTCTTTTCGTGGTACATTCTTGGTAATTTCTTCAACTCTATCTTTTAATTTGTGAGTTCTCTCCAAGTACACTGAAGTCTTACACGAAGCTTTCCATTTGAATTATCTTTTTATTTCTAGAAGTTCTATTTAGTTCTCTATCAAATATAGTTGGCTGTCTTTATTGTTGAAGTGACTATATGTTTCAGTTCCCTTCTAATTTAAGCATACATATTTTGTATTATGTATGTGATAATTTCAAAACCCAAAAATCTTTGAGAGACTAATTTTGGTACTATTGATTCTTGGGGACTTTTAGTTATGGTGACCTGTTTTCTAGTATGTTTTGTGATTTTTGACCAGGAGCTCATATTTCTTGGAATTTTCTCTAAAAAAAATATTCTCTGAAGACCTGGACGATTTATGGTTGTTTCTGCTAGACAGTTAAAGACATTGAAGATGTGAGTCCATTATATATGATCATTTTTAGATTAAGGTTTTTCAAACTACACCGAGAGTGTAAATCTATGTACTAAACCCACAATGACAGTCACCCTGTAACCATATCTCACAGTTCACCTGATTAAAAAACAAAAAACTTCCACCCAGAGCAAAGATAATAAAAACAAAATTATTTTTTACTCTATGAGATAGATTATTTTCTCCTTGATCTTTCCTCGGAGGGTTACGTGGTCCTCCCTACCTCCTCGCGATGATCTCTCATTTGGTTACTTGACCCCCACCCCAGCAAGTGCTAACGAGCTACACGATGTGCTTCATGTGCTTCGCAACCTCATTCACACCACCACACGCAGAAAATGATAGCATCTGGCCCACTGACATAAACAGAGGGTGCTACTTGAGGACAGAGGTGTGTCCTGAAGGCCTGGCTTGCCCAAGGATTGAAGGCATCCGCTCCAGTGCCACTGACAGGACATTGCAGCACAGAAAAGCTCTGCTCTAAAACACCTGAACCTTATGGGCAAAGAACGAATTTGGTTTACCTCCCTGAAACCTTCCGACTCTTGCATTTCACCAATCCGTAAAACCTATTTTTTACTACCTATCCCATAAATTCATAAAATACATTTAACATAAAAAAGTATAAGGAACATTTTAGAATAATATAAAGATCATTTAATTTAATAAATTTGGCTCTAATTTGCTAACGACTGACACAGATCTCCAGGCTGGCACTTGAGACCACTAGACTACAGACTGAAGTAAATGGATCTTTCCCTTCCCATAAATAAAAGAGCACATTCTATAGAAAACTGGGTTCACTTTACCTTTTCTCACAAGAGACACCGTCAATGTCCATGCTCTGGGAACGCGAAAGAGACTGAGACTGTGTTTCAAGGCTATTGGAGGGCGAGCTGCTGAGAGAACTGACTCCTTCGCTGCTCTGGCTTCGATGCGCGACTCCTGAACGGAAGATACGTGACAAGGTGAAGCCACACGTGAAATGACGTGAAAGCTATCTGAAACGGCAACCGTAAACATGCACAGTCCGTACTCACACCACCATGATATCAAACAACTGAAGGACTTCTGTCAGGAGGCTGTATTAAATGCTGGAATTCGTGTTAAAATCATGGGAATATTAGTGAGAATATCGTCATTTACCAACAGACTGCACGTGGATCACTACATCTGACACTGAAAACAGACCCCTCATCACCTCTCTTTTGCCAATTCAAACTATGGTTCCTAAATACAAACTAGCTTTCACGAGAGTCCAGAAAATCCTCAAAATGCACCAAAAATAAGATACATTAGTAACTCGGGAACCAGCAGGTAGCATAATGGCTAGGTCGCTGGACTCCCACGTAGTCGACCGCGGTTCGCATCCCAGACCCGGTGGTTTAGAACTCACACCGGGCGCATGTGTGTGCGTGCCCAAGATCCCGAGAGGAGAAGGGATTGCGGTGTGGCCATCCCCCCAGGGGGTGAGTTCTTGCTTTCTGTCTCTATGTCTCTGTCTGTCTGGCGAGCACAAAGGCCCTCTAGTGAAAACCTCTCAAAAAATAAATAAATAAATAAAAAAGATACATTAGTAACTAGAAACACGATATGAAGTGAGTATAATGAAGTGGTAATGGCAGAACATAGATATCTAGGCTCCACCTAAGATATGATAAATACATTGCAGTTCACGGCACAATTCTCTTAGCTCTGCTGTATGTTTGAAAGCTACATAATAAAATGTTGGAAATACAGAGTCAACTACGCAATGGCCTTCAGTACACGCGGGGTCTTCACAACATTCATGGAAAATGTATATTATAAAAACTCTAAATAAACTCAGAATTTAATTCCACTTTTTCTTTGGACTTTTAGAAGTCTCCTCATGGATCAATTCATCTACTGAATGAACAAGTTGGTTAAAATTTAAAAATCTAATACAGCGTAGTCGACCGCGGTTCGCATCCCAGACCCGGTGGTTTAGAACTCACACCGGGCGCATGTGTGTGCGTGCCCAAGATCCCGAGAGGAGAAGGGATTGCGGTGTGGCCATCCCCCCAGGGGGTGAGTTCTTGCTTTCTGTCTCTATGTCTCTGTCTGTCTGGCGAGCACAAAGGCCCTCTAGTGAAAACCTCTCAAAAAATAAATAAATAAATAAAAAAGATACATTAGTAACTAGAAACACGATATGAAGTGAGTATAATGAAGTGGTAATGGCAGAACATAGATATCTAGGCTCCACCTAAGATATGATAAATACATTGCAGTTCACGGCACAATTCTCTTAGCTCTGCTGTATGTTTGAAAGCTACATAATAAAATGTTGGAAATACAGAGTCAACTACGCAATGGCCTTCAGTACACGCGGGGTCTTCACAACATTCATGGAAAATGTATATTATAAAAACTCTAAATAAACTCAGAATTTAATTCCACTTTTTCTTTGGACTTTTAGAAGTCTCCTCATGGATCAATTCATCTACTGAATGAACAAGTTGGTTAAAATTTAAAAATCTAATACAGTCCTTGCCCTCATAAAAGATTACAGCATAGCAAAATTATATTCACTAGTTTACAGAGATTCTTTCTACAGCTATTTCCTCATCAATGTCTTTAAAATCTTATTTCTCATAGAATATTTAAAAATTACTTCAACTCAGAGCCAGTAGATGATGTAGCGGTTATGTTACTGAACTCCCACATGGCCAACCATGGTTTGAGTCCTAGATCCAGTGGCTTGAAAATTAAGCCAGGTAAAATGTGCGTGCATGCCCAAGATCCCAGGAGGGGAACAGAGAAGGGACTGCAGCGTGGTCATCCTCTCTCGGGGGTGATTTCTCACTTTCCCTCTACTATTTTTCTCTCTCCAGCAAGTGCACATGCCCTCTGGCAAAAACCTCTAAAAAAAATACTTTAATTCTACAATATCTACTACACTCCGAAAGAAAAAAATACCTCAAAACTAAAAATAGAATGTTTACCCAAGGGTTTTAAAGTACATTTATCTTAAAATGTGTGTTGCTGAAAGGCAAATGAACTTTCATGTTTAAGAAACAACAGGGGGGGATGGGACCAGCAGTTAGAGTAATGGCTATGTCGCGGGACTCCCACGTAGTCGACCACGGTTCGCGTCCTGGACCCGGTGGCTTAAAACTCACGCTGGGCATGTGTGCATGCGTGCCCAAGATCCCGAGAGGAGAATGGAGGAGAAGGGATTGCGGCGTGGCCATCCCCCCTGGGGGCTGATTTCTCGCTTTCTGTCTCTGTCTGTCTGGCAAGCACACGTGCCCTATAGTGAAAAACCTCTCGAAAAGAAAAAAAAAAAAGAAACAGGGGCTTGGGACTAGTAGTTGGCGTAATGGCTACATCGCTGGACTCCCGTGTAGTCTACCGCAATTCGAGTCCCAAACCCGGTGGCTTAAACTCACGCCAGGTACATGTGCATGCACGCCCAAGATCCTAAGGGGAGATTAGACAAATGAATAAATAAAAATTAAAAAAAAAAAAGAAGAAGAAGAAGGGATTGCGGCATGGCCATCCCCCCTGGGGGGTGATTTCTTGCTTTCTGTCTCTCTCTGTCTTTTAGACAAGTGCATGTGCCCTACAGCAAAAACCGCTCCTAAAAAAAATAAATAATTAAAACACAACAGGGGCCAGCAGGCGGTGTAGTAGTTAAAGGCGCTGGATTCCCACATAGCTGACTGCGGTTCGAGTCCTGGACCTGATGGCTTACTTTCTCACTTTCCCTTTCTCTCTCTCTCTGGTCAAATTAAAACATAATAACAACAAATGGAATTAAATAAACAAATAATTCTTAAAAAGATATAAATGAAACAATAAAAAACTTGAGTTACTAGTTGCAGCAGGAACAACTACCAAAAGATAACATTTTAAACCTCCTGGCATTCCAAGAATGTAAACTTGCCACCCTTTAATCTCTTTCTTCATTGACAAAGACTACAAAACATTTATCCACTCCCCATACCAGTTTTTAGCATGCAGCAAATTAATTAAAAACTTCAGCAAGATTTACAAGGGAAACAATAAGCTAACCTGTCACTATTCTTAGAAAGAACCAAATAAAATACACAAAGCCTCTAATGTAATAACAATTCTGAAATACGCTTATAGCAGACAATAAAACTTTTAATTCATTAACTCAAGAAGTGTAACCCAAAGTAAGTTCTCAATAAATATTTATTGAAGGACTATATAATTGAACATTGACAATGTTCTTAGGAGAATATTATTTTAGCTATCATAATTAAAAGATAGTTTTTTGAGAGTTTTTTTTGCTATAGGGTGCATGCACTCACCAGAAAGAGCGAGACAAACTGATAGAAAGCAAGAAATCACCCCCCTGGGGGGATGGCCAGGCTGCAATCCCTTCACCTCCATTCTCCTCTTGGGATCTTGGGTACGTAAGCACATGCGCTCGGCATGAGGGTCCAGGACTCAAACCACGGTTGACCACATGGTAGTCCAGCGACAGCCATTACGCAACTGCTGGTCCCAAAGGTCAGATAAATTTTAAATTAATTAATAATAAAGTTCAACAATTTTTGTGGGATATTAGTTAAGCAGGCCATAAAATTTCTACTCTGTAAAACTAGTCCTTTTTAAAATTTTTTTTTTATTTTAGAGAGATTTTTGCTATAGGGCATGTACACTCAACGGAGAAACAGAGACACAGTGAGAAATCACCCCCCGTCCCCCAAGAGGGATGGCCAAGCCACAATCCCTTCTCTTCCATTCTCTTGGGATTTGGGGCAGGCAAGCACATGAGCCCGGCATGAGTTCAAGCTGCTGAGTCTAGGACTCTAACTGCAGTTGGCCATGTGAAAGTCCAGAGCCTTAACCACTACACCACCTGCTGGTTTCAATATAGAACTAGTTCTAAAAGTAAACAGATAATTATGAAAAGTTGTTCAAAGGAATTAATTTTTTTGGGGGGGGCAGGTTTTCGCTATAGGGAGCGTGCACTTACCAGAAAGACAGAGAGAGACAGAGCGATAGAAAGTGAGAAATAACCCCCCAGGGGGGGATGGCCACGCCACAATCCCTTCTCCTTGGGGATCTTGGGCACGCACACACACACGCCCGGCATGAGTTTAAGCCACCGGGTCCGGGACTTGAACTGTGGTCAACTACGTGGGAGTCCAGCAACATAGCCATTACGTTAACTGCTGGTCCCAAAGGAACTAATTTTTAAAGATTTACTTACTTATTTATTTTTATGGATAATTTGACCAGAAAGAGAGGGAAAGTGAGAAAGCAAGCCATAGAGTGCAAATAGTCGGTATATATTGAGTGGATACATACAATATCTTTCTTTCATAGCCTGGCTTACTTCACTCAGCAATAGATCCTCCATATCTGACCACTTTCTATCAAAT